CCAAGTCACATCTTGCATCCTATTGAACTACAACACAATCACTTGCAATTTTATTAGTCCAATTTGGTTGTGTTGATCATCAAACACCAAAATCCATAGTAAATGGGCCAAGGATCCATTTTCCTTATAGGCCCAACCCATGGGAACACATGCAACCACTCGCTCGGCAAGGGGTGCATGCGGCGCGTGGGGCCGTGCATGCGTGGTGATCAAAGAGAGAGCTGGGAGCTCGTGAGAGGAGCGCGGGGCCTACATCTGCATGCACCCATTTGCTGCTCTCGTGACGGGTGACCGTGGGTATCGAGCTCCGCGCCAGCGTATGCGTTTCAGGTGTATGTTTTATGTTGCATGTGTTTCATCTGGATATCTATCTCTTATAAAGCTAAACCCCACTATAAATTTATCTCAACATGCAAGACATCCACGTCATTTCTCACTACCTATCCACATCACCTCCCAATAATAGCCATGTCATCCACTAATTTTCAATCTCTCCACTACAACTTTATCTCAACATGCAAGGCATCCACATCATTTCTCACTACCTATCCACATCACCTCCCACTAATAACCATGTCATCTACTAATTTTCAATCTCTTAATGCAAGCTGTTCACACCATCTCCACTAAGCGTAATTTAATTTTAATGTATATGAAATATAGAGGGCATTCATATATTGCTATTTGTTTTACCATTCCATCCTTTTATAATTTGATCTAATTCTGTTAGTTTTTTATTGAATTCTTTCATTGTTCACACCATTTCCACTAAGCACAATTTAATTTCAATATATAAGAAATATAGGCATTCATATATTGTTATTTGTTTTGCCATCCCATCATCTTATAATTTGATCTAATTCTATTAGTTTTTCATTGGATTCTTTTATTGCCTTGTCTAATTTTGGTGAGAAGGGATGTAAGAACATATAGGTTTAATTTATACATGCAACAATTTTATTTCTAAGAAAGTTCCGCAGCAACGCGCAAGGTATCCTTCTAGTTGCATATGTTGCAATAGCTATACACGTATATTGCAAGTATATCTTCCAAATGTTTCAGCTGTTTCATTTGGATGTTGCATATTTCATCTGGATGTTGCATATGTTGCAGTGGTTATATGCGTATGTTGCAAATGTAAGTTTCAAATGTTTCAGACGTATGTTGCAAGTGTTTTACCTGAATGTTGCATATATTGCAGTGGCTATACACATATGTTGCAAGCGTATGTTTCAATTTGTTTTAGTATGTTGCAGCAAGTGCTACTCCCCACGCGCTTTGACTCGCGGGCACGCACGCGCTGCACACACCCAGCCAGCGCTGCCTATCTTTGTCATGCAGGACAACTCCAACAGTCAAACGTGGCTCACGCAACGGACGGTCAGTGCCTAAACGGCCAAACACTCCCCAGTCAAAGTGCATGAACGTGTACAGATCGCTAGAGCGGGCCAGCACCCAAAGGACGCAGAACCAAGCGACCTGCGCCACCAGGCGTGCCCCCCCTCCCCCCAACGGTGCAGCATGCAGCTAGATCAACACATGGGTACATAATCCAGAGGAGGTACTGTGCCACCTGTGAGGGCACAACAACCTTGTGTCTGGCACCAAAGGAACTCCAAGAGCTATTGATATTTGCCCTCAAGTCAAGCAGGGTGAGACTCACTGGAAAACATAAACTGAATGGAAGACCGGTCTTGAGGAATCCAAAGAGTAGCAAAGAAAATTCCCACCCAGTCTGCAATATATCTGAGACCTCAAGCAAGCAAGGCATGTTTGTCAAATGTGCCCTAATTTCTTCCTCACTTTACTCCTACAGATGTTGCCAGGATCTCAACAGTGATCCTGTGGTGAATATATAGCTTGACCCGACTCCACTGAGTCATATCCCTACAGAAGAGGGCCTGCAAATCAGTCCAGAAGGGTCCACGTGCTGTCTTCCTTGGTTTTGTGAATCATTCGTCATGAGGCACAAATCTTAATTTCTGAATTTTGTTTCCTCTAAGATGAAAGGCGGGCCCGGTGCAAGCGGTAGAGTCTTACCACCTATGATCGGAAGGTTCCAGGTTCGAGTCGCGGTCTCCTCGTATTGCATAGGCGAGGGTAAAGCTTGCCACTAACACCCTTCCCCAGACCCCGCACAGAGCGGGAGCTCTCTGCACTGGGTACGCCATTTTTTTGTTTCCTCTAAGATCTAGAAGCCCAGCAACTATGGGTAGAGGAGATCCGGCTGGCTCTGGCTGTCTCTCCTGCTCCTGCTCCCGCCGCCTCTAACGCTCCCTCTGTTGAGCCCATTGAGTGCCCTCCTCACCAATCATCTCAAGCTGGTGAGAGTGAATACAACCAGACTTGTGACGAGGGGTAGACTGGATTTGGGGCTGCTGTCCTCACTGGAAATACATCTGTCCCCCTCATGTTCTCGGTGCTCTGCTACTGCTACTGCTGCTTGTACTACCATACGAGTTTCTCTAGAGATCTTTGGTTTCTTGATTTTCTTTTGAGGCACAACAACCTTCCCTGTCCCTTTCCTGTCCCCTGGAGGGGGCCTCTCACCTCCTGATCCTCCTGCTGCTGATCTGATCATTGCTGACACTGATCCTGGCATGCCAAGCTGAAGATAGTGCCCTGCTAGAGACTACTGAACCTTTAGATGCTTGACCTCAGTCCATTCTCAAAGGGCTTGGCCCTGAGCTAATCTGCCCAAATGACTGCTGACACCGAGCTGCTGACTCCTAGTGCATCATCAAGTGTCTAGTGCATCATTCAAAAAATAAAACCGTCACATGATTTTCTAAATTGTTTGCATTGTACGATTCAGGACCACGACAATTATGACAACAAAAGGAGATTACTGTCCAAGCAATTTAATTTAGAAATACAATAAAGAACTTCAGGTTACAGTTTCATTTTGCAGAGAAGTCAGCACATGAGTTATTTTATTCAAAGCAAAATAACTTCTCTAATTGCTATCCTGCTGTCCCCTTAATTGTGGTACCTTACATATAGACAGAAGGAACATTTTAATATGGACAGCCAAGCTGCACATACAACTTCAATGAATTTTCAAATCTTCCTACATTTCAAACAAGTGAATTATGAATGGAAAATCAATGACCAGATGACAAGCTGAAGTTTAGACAGCTGTAAGCTAACCAGGATCATAGAAGACGAATTATCACAGTGAAGTTGAAATTCCATACTTGCTGTGAGAGTTCAATAGCACGTGGTAGATTGGATCTTGATATGATACTTTGAAAAGTTGGAGGACAATGTAGCCGCATGTTGTGATGCTAATGCACAGGAGGAGGAAAAAGAATGAAGGTCAATAAATTACTTGAATAAAATCATCAATATGGCTCACAACTTTGTGTAACATATCACTGATATGAATGCATAATAACCAAAAGGAAACAAAATATGCACCCCAAATGCACAACTGATCCTTCACATACTTCAGTTGACAGGGTTAAAGCAGCTTTATATATTGTACTATATCAAATTGTTTCAAGGAAAGCACCACCCACATATATGAATCGGGCATAACCCTGAGGGAAGATATTCCTAGAGAGAAGAATTACATAATATTACAGTACTTAACGTATGAAAACATATACATATCATGATAACAAACTAATTACAGACATCAACAAAACAATGCTGGTTAACACATAACAATTAATTACAGCATTTAAGTGATATAAATTGAATAGTTACAGCTTATGTTAAGATTTGCAAGTACAAGTATTCTGACAATCTCTTTGCAAACATGGGACTCTCCAGAAATAATATTGCAGGGCAATTATTAGTACTGTTTATTCACAACTAGATTTGCTAGCGACTATATCAATTTGGTTAGTTTCTGTAAGCAAGATATCACACGGAAGGTACACATATATGTAGGCAAAGTGTTGCTGGGAAAGTCCCACATCTACAATAGGCCCACCTTGCATGCATGCAAGAGCAGACCCAATTATGATACTGTCATGGGTGTGTGCACAAGCTGTGCCAAGATGGCAGCAAGAGCAGGTGGACAAGGGCAGTGGGCAGTTGTCCATCTGGCCGGCCAACATGGGACCAAGGTGCTGGCACAAAGAACAGCAATATTTTCTCTCTATAAGCGCTAGTGACTGAACACCTTCCAGATGAAGGGCACCCGGTAGGGAGGAGAGAACTCAGAAAAGAATGATACTATATTAGAGGACAACTTCGTTTCTATCATTACCGGCCATGAATGACATGGCCATTGCTCTTAAATAAAGATTACTTCCAACAGAATGAGATATGCTACACCAATCGACAAACTGAAGATAAGATAGAAACGACTTGGCTAACGAAGTGTCGCATCCAAATCGGCACACAGTAAATGGATTCTACTCCCTCCGTTCCAAATTGTAAGTCGTTATAGCTAATTCTAGGTACATAGCTTTTACTAGGTATCTAGATATAATGTATATTTAGGTACATAGAAAATCTATGAATTTAGAAAAGCCAGAATGACTTACAATTTGGAACGGAAGGAGTATTAAAGTAAAAAAAAGTGGTAATAAGTTGGTGCTTGAAGCCCCCAAAAGAGATTTATATACCTTCCTAAGCATATCAACAAGACAATCCAAATGGTAGTTGATATCCAAGATGACTCCTTGTGAGTAACCCAGACCTGTAGGCATATTATCAAATATTAACACTTGGTCATAACGCCTATTAGGGAGCAAAATATTAATGTCAAAGTGTATCCCAATCTAGAATCATTTTCGCCCGGTAAGAATTCAGAAACCATAAATAAGCCGTATATATAATGACCATTAAGTTAAAACATAATTGTTGCCAAACATTTTCTATCAGGGTCTAAAATAGAGAAGTGCAGACCAGGATATCAAATGTAAATATTATGAACCATGTTTTTGAGGCGTCGCCTAGGCGCCAAGGCGTGCTCGAGGGCCTGGGCGTCGTCCTCGCCACGACCTCAGCCTGTATGGCGTCCGCCTCAGCAGATTAGGCGTCGCCTAGGCACGAATGGCGTCGGGCGGACGCCTAGAGCTCTCCAGCGGACGCCATAATCTAATTCGCAGGGAAGGGGGCGAAAATCGACCGTGCGGGCGCGGGAATTGCGACCTACGCGCGGGAAATCGACCGCCTGAGCCATTACCGCGAGGGGGGCGAGGGGAGACCGGGAGAGAAAGAGAGAAGGCGGCGGGCGGACCTCCTGCTCCGCTTCGCTGCTCCTCCGCTCGCCAGCTCGAGTCCACCGGCCGGCCTCCACCGAGAAGAAGCTGCCTCCGCTCGCCAGCTCGAGCCCCCTCCAGCATTTGCCTCCGGTCATGCGCTGCCGCCTGTGGTATGCCCCTGCCTACTCTGCTTCTGTGAATATAGTAATGCCTCGTATGCCTGCTTTGCTCGCTTTTGATCTGAATATTGTATGCCTCGTTCTCGTGCTCGCTATTGACCTCAATCGAATATTGTATGCTCATCTTTGGGATGCCCCCGCCTCCTCCTTCTCTAATATTTATTACGCACTCTGTTGTTTGCTCTGCTTTTCTTTGATGCTTGCTTTTTATATTATATGGGTACTCGCATATACAAATGCACTGCTTGTGCTTGGGTGTCACACACCTGCTACAACACAAAGCATGAGATCTTTCTTTGATCCCAAGACTGATCCGATCCAAGCAACATGGCAAGCACAGTTCAAGTACACGAGTATGATCCCAAGATCTGATCCAACAAGGAAAGCAAAGTCCAATGATCCGGTGGAAATATAGCTCTTGGCGGGGACCACGCTAGGAGAGACTGGGTGACATGTATCCTGTGTGGACATGAGGGTTCAGGAGGCATAAAGAGGTTCAAGCAACATTTGGTGGTGGATATGGAGATATTATCCTTTGTCCAAAAGTTAGCCTTTGAAATCGAGAAAAGAGATGGAAGCTTACTTGCAAAAGAAGAGAAGAAGGCCTTTGTACTTGGATGGTATTGAGGAGGATGGGGAACCAGAAGATGAAATTGTGGAGGTAGCAGCTGCAGATGTACAAAGCAGCAGCAGCAGCAAATGCCACACCAAAAGTGGCTGCAAAAAACCAAGTTCGGGACAGCCGCTAAGAAAAGGCATGCTATCTTCCAATTCAAGGCTTCAACACTAGCAGTGTCAATTCTACACCAAAGACACCAAAGACCAATGCAACAAAGTCAGTTGTTGGTATGCTTAGAAGAACACTGAGCAGATAGTAGATCAAAGGCGTGCAAAGGACTTTCAGCCCACCATTGAGTCCAAGCACAAAGACTAAGGAGGAGAAGCAATATGTGGATATGCAATGGGCACTGTGGTTCATGGAGTGTGGTGTAGCCTTTAATGCAGCAAATTCAAGGCAATTTGAGATTGCTTGTGAGGCAATGACCCAATATGGTTCAGGTACAAGCCTCCAACTAACCAAAGCAGACTTGGTGACCCTTTGCTCCAAGAATGTGTTAAGGTGACAAGTGACATGAGGAAGGACCATGAGCAGGCACTGGAAGCAATATGGTTGTACACTAATGTCGATGGATGGACTGATATGAGAGGGCGCCACCGATTAATTTTCTTGTGAACAGCCCCGAGGGAACGATTTACGGAGTCGGTTGATGCATCAAGTGAAGTTCATAGTGCAACAATGCTAGCTGATTTGTTACAGGAGAAGATTGAGGACATTGGAAGGGACAATGTTGTTCAAGTTGTGACCGACAATGGCGCTAACTATAAGGCTGCTGGTAAGATCTTGATGGATAGGATTCCCACACTGTTTTGGAGTCCTTGTGCTGCACATTGCTTGGATCTGATGTTGGAAGAAATTGGGAACTTGAAGGCATTCAAGAAACCTATTGCACGTGCTAAGCGTGTCACCAACTTCATTTATAGGCATGGAAGGCTTCTTAGTGCAATGAGGGCTCAAACAGGTGGGACTGATCTTGTTAGGACAGCAAAGACTCGATTTGCCACATCATTTCTGACATTGAAGAGTTTGTACAAGAACAAGGATGCCTTGAAGAGCTTGTTTGTTAGTGAAGCATGGATCGGGAACAACTTGTGTACAACTGCAGCAGAGTCAACAAGTGCAAGACATTGTGCTATCTCTTGAGTTTTGGAACTCAAGAGAAGATTGCCTAAGAGCTTCAGCCCCACTCTTAATTGTTTTGAGGGCTGTTGATGGTGATGAGAAGCCTGCAATGCCAGAGGTATGGGCTCTAATGAATCATGCAAAAGAGAGGATAAAGCAAAGCTTCAATATACCAACCAAGGATGGCCTACTCAAGAAGATCATGGAAATTATTGAGAGGCGTTGGGTGAAACAAATGGACCATCCATTGTATGGGGCTGCGAACCCGGGAAATTTTTTTCCTCTAATAAAAGCTAATGATGATGTCACTGTTGGGCAGCTAAGAGGTTGTTTTATTGAAGTGCTTGGAAGAATGATACCGATGTGGAAACACAAATGAAGATCAATAGGCGTGCCATTGAGTATGAAGAGCAACGTGGAGAAGCCTTCTCAAACAAAATGGCAAAGGAAAGCTATGACAAAATGAATCCTCGTAAGTCTTTGTTTATCTCGACTTGTAAATTTCAGCAACTTAATTGCATTCCAAACACCTAATATGTGTTGTCCTTTTCATCCAGTTGATTGGTGGTGTTCTTATGGTGGCCGAGCCATTGAACTACAAAGACTTGCTAAGCGTATAGTTAGTCTTTGTGCTTCATCCTCGTGGATGTGAGAGATGTTGGAGTACCTTCGGTCATGTGAATATCCTTGTGACTAACAGTTTATATTTAGATGCATACAATCTGATTTTTTGTTTTGCTTCCCATCTGATTTTTTTTTTTTTGTAGATGCATACAAAGAAAAGGAATAGGTCTTGCACAAGAGATTGAATGATATTGTCTTTGTTTCATACAATCGGAAGATGAGAACAAGGTTTGACTTAGGCGTGAGAAGGCGGGCAAGAAATATGACCCCTTGGTCATTGAGGAGTTCGATTGGGACAATGAATGGGCTGATTCATTGCATGTGCACATTCCGGTGCTCGAGGGTCGATGTTGTTGATGACCTCACATGGCAGCATGTTGATGAAGCCATCGGTGCATCACAAGCGCTACTGCAGGTCGTAACCTTCCTAGGAGAGCTGCTGCTCTGTTCAAGATTATAGACGCCCTTGAAATGTTCCTGCTGCTGCTGCTTTCTTTGAAGATGGCGAAGAGGAAGACGAAGTTGAAGACCCACATGATGATGCGAAGTGAGCGAGTGTGAAGAAGGCGGCAATGTTCTCTGCATCTTGATCAAGACGACGCTGCTGATCTTGATGAGTTTGATGATGGATTTTGAGTCTTTGAAAGAGATTTGCACTCAGCCCTTTTGTGTCCTACACCCTTGTCCCGCACTCATGTTGTATGGCTTTGGTGTAGTTGACTAGTAATTAGAATGCTTTAGAGTCCATGATTTCAGACTTTCGGTCTCTAAGTTTGTGGACTATTAGAGACAAACTATGATGTCATTTGTCATGCTCATGCATGAACTAATGCACTAAGCCACTAATGCTTGCTAATTTGTTGTATTGCCTCTTGTGTATTGTTTCTTATTTAATTCTCAAAGCATTTGGTAACAATGTAACATGTTCATTTACATTTCTTCATGTCATAGATTGCTGAATTTTGGAATTGTCATGTAGTTTGCTTCAAGGGGATGGATGCTACGTGGGAGAAGAGCTTTTGAAAGGGAAGAAAGGAACACTGGGCTCAGGTGGGAACAAACCAGGTATGTATGTGCTGCACTTACTATATAAAACTCTAGCTTACAGCGCCATACAACGTGTGTATGGCGTCGCCTAGGCGTCCGCCATAAACGCCTAGGCGTTGTGAAGGGGGTCGGGCGCCGCGCCTCGCCGCGGCGCCTAAAAAACATGGATTATGAACAAACTCTACTGATTACATTTCCAGTGAAAATACATGCTCTCTATGATCGAAATGAAACTAATAACACTATGGCATCAATGCTCAGAATTTCAAATAAAATTCATGTAATCGTTATAAAAAATGTGTTCTCCATCCTTTTGGACAAAGTAAACATAAGCAGTAAATTTTCACAGCTCATCCATGCACACAAATTATTTTAAACAAATACAAAAAGTTAAGTATGATTGCATCTATCTCATGACTTGTACTCCCTCTGTCCCAGAATATAAGGCGTAACCTTTTTTATTCATGTCCTATAATATAAGGCGTGCTCTCTCTAGACGCACGTATATCGATGCAATAGCACTAGTATTGTGAGAGAGAATTAAATATGTTCCTTGGTCTTTGAACCAGAGGTGGTTACGCCTTATATACTGGGACGGAGGGAGTACTACATAGGAGCCAAAGTTTAAGTTGTCTTACCGATATTGCAAAGATATTTATGTAGAAATCAATTAAGGTTGCCGCCATCCACCTGAGTGCACAATTGAAACATTAAACTTGATATTTATGTTTGATAAATGATAAGTATGCTTTGAATAGAACTATGCATCTAAACCATCCAACACATGTATGAGCTTTCCATTTTAATTGTTGGATACTGAGTTGTACTAACTCTTGCTTTTAGTACACATGATGAACAGAAATCTATTCACTTGCCACCCTAAATTGTTAAATCAAGTAAATATTTAGAGATTTTTTGTTATAACTTTTAAAAATACTAACAGGCAAATACCAAAAAATTAGTTGTCTGACTTGTTTTTTTTGGCAAAAAAAAATTGTTAAATACATCACAACTTTCAACCCCACCCCCCATTTTTTTTTTAATTTTAATACTTTTTGGAAACTAATTTTAAATCTAACACGATCGGGGGTTTTTTAAACTAACACTTTTGGCCGCGTCTATTGCCCTGGCGCGGCCAAATGCCTGTGTCGCGCCATGCATGGTGGCGCGGCAGAGGGCTGACGTGGCGGCGACCGGAATCGCCGATCACCGACGGAAGGGGCTCTGCCGCGCTATCGATCTTAAGATGGCAAATGACGCTACTGATCGTCGGTCTCTGCCCTAGCTCGCCATCGCTCGGCTCTGGCAGGCGGCGCAGTGTCACAGTGTGTACAAGACCAAGATGAACCACGCCGCTGCGTGCTGGTTGGCCCTGCTACCCCGTCGCCGTCTGACCTCTGGGACGCGTTGAAAGTTTCAATCCTTTCACTTTTCGAATCAGACATCAATGAAAAACAAGTCCATGTCCTATCACTTTTCGAATAGAAAAATGAAAAACAAGTCTAGCGTTGGATGATGGTGGAGCTGTGTAGGAGCGCTGGAGCGGTGGCCAGGCACGGAAGCAGAGCAATGAATGCGCACGTCATTCCAAATTTTCAGCAGATGTGATGGTTGCTTTGCAGGGGCCCCAAGCGTGCTTCTGCTCCCCAACGCCACTTCTGCTCATTTGCGCTTTACTACTCTACTACACATAAATCCTGGAGCAGTGTTGTAGAGTAGTAAATGAAATAGTGCTTTTGCTCATTTACGCTTTACCTAAATCCTGGAGCTGTGTAGTAGAGTAGTAAATACAACGCCAGCAATGTATGTATGCACTTCTGCTCATTTGCGCTGGAGCTATGTAGTAGAGTAGTAAATGCTAGCTACTCGCTACTAGGAGTACTATTTCATTTGGAAACACGCGCAAATGGAGTACTACGTATATCGGACAATGACATACTCCTTCTAGACTAGTACTTTCACGAACTTTCCTCATTTCGGCCTGTTTGGAATGAAGGAATCCAAAACGCAGAAATAGAAAAAAACGCAGGAATAAGGTATGATGAAAAGTGAAAAACTACGAGATTTCAAAACACAGGAACAGAAAATTTAGGCTGTTTGGAACACAGGAATTTATAATATAGGAATTGTAACATGTTAGGTAAATATGGGTACTAATTACTATATCTAGGGCCTGTTTGGAATAAAGGAATAAAAAACATAGGAATAGGAATAAGCTCGCATTGCATTTTGTCCCGGCTAATCACTCGTTCTCCAACTGTGTTAGTGACAGCGTGCCTCGGACTTCCGCGAAGCGGAGAAAACCAGCGCATGGAGTGGATGTTTCCATTCCTGTGAAATTGTGAAGAGGCTACAGGATTCCATAGGAAAGGAAGGGGTGCTTTCCTGTGTTCCAAACAACAATATTCGTTTCCTTTCCTTTGTTTTGGTTTCCTTTAAATTTCCTAGGGAAATCCCGTGATCCAAACAGGCCCTTCGTGTGCTAGTGGGGAAATCCCGAAGATACGTTGCGGCGGCTGTAACTTCATGTCGACTTTCTTTGCTGCCTGGAGGTATATAGCCTGGCCTATAAAATGGAACGGGGGGACTACTAGAACTTCAAAAACGCGTGCGAGGCAGGCACATTAATATTTATAGAAAAAGAACATAAATATTCATGACACCGAATAAATAACAATCTAATAATACTTACTCCGTATTTGGTCTCATATAAATATTGTAGTTTTTTTTATAAATTTGCTTAAACTTGAAATGGTTTGACTTAGGACAAATATAAAACACCACTGATTTTGGGGTGGAGGGAGTAGTAAGTATCTGCTCCTTGCCTGAAATATAATGGGTCCGAGTTTATTCTAGGTTAAACTATAGTCTTATTTTAACTAAGTTTAAAGAAAAAAAATTACACATCAAAGTTTATAATTCATATCTTTAATGAGGTATTTGTTAATGCTTTTCTAATGGACTAGAAAAAGCATTAATCGTTTTGCTATTACATGTACTGTTGGCTCCTCCAACCTATAAGCTGCGACATGCGCCTCTGTGCCTTTTTTACTTGTTATAAGTTACCATGGTTTAGTAATTCCCATACTATTTAATGCTCACAATGGTTGGGATCAGGATTCAGTGACTTTGCTTCATAAAGTCACGGTGTAACTTTCCTTCAATCTCCCACCTCCATTTAGATCCAACGTCTTCCACGCTGGCAGCTAATCAGTTCAGACGACTCAGCTGATTCGATAGGATTTAGGTAAATGCTTGGGGAGCAGAAGCACTATTTCATTTGCGCTGATTGGGGCCCCTGCAAAGCAACCATCACATCTGCTGAAAATTTGGAATGACATGCGCATTCATTGCTCTGCTTCCGTGCCTGGCCACCGCTCCTACACAGCTCCACCATCATCCAACGCTAGACTTGTTTTTCATTTTTCTATTCGAAAAGTGATAGGACATGGATGATTGATGTCTGATTGGGTAGAGTAGGAGGCTATAACGTCAATACTTTTGGGAGACGAGGAAAGGATTGAAACTTTCGGCGCGTCCTAGAGGTCAGATGGCGACGGGGTAGCAGGGCCAACCGGGCACGGCAGCGTGGTTCATGTGGGTGCGCGCGCGACACGCAGCCGCGGCGCCCATGCCGGACCCCTGTGCTTGAGCGAGGCGAGGGCGAGCGACGGCCGCGTCGTGTTGCCCACGCCACGGATCGAGTAGCGGCAGCCACGCCACGTCGGTGATCGGCCCATTGCCGCGCCACCACCATGCATGGCGTGGCACAGGCATTTGGCCACGCCAGGGCAATAGGCGCGGCCAAAAGTGTTAGTTTTTTTTAAAAAAAACTGACCGTGTTAGATTTAAAATTAGTTTCCAAAAAGTGTTAAAATTAACCCCCCCCCCCCGCCGTGCCAAAAAAAAATCTCTCTTTAATCCAGGTGTTATGCCCTGGTGGAGGAATTGGCGGTGGAGGGCCAAGGCTTCTTAGGTGGTAGTGGTGATTGTTAGTCGCTGAATTCTCACTCTTGGTAGTAGCAGAATTCTTACTCTTATCGAGAGAGAATGACATTAGGAGTTGGGACAATTTTCTGGTTTATTTCTCAATGCCATGCCAACCTGAGGGGTTGGGGATACATATTTATAGGCTGCTAGCCAGCCAAGCATATACCAAGATGCTAGTCTAAGATGCTAATATGCTATCCTAATATGTTATCATCTAAGATGCTGTCCTAAGATGCTGTCCTAGCTAAGATGTTGCTGCAGCCAGCCCCACAAAGACCAGCTGCAAGGATGTTGTCCTCTCAGTCAAGATGTTGCTGCAACCAGCCCCACAAAGACCAACTGCAGTCAGCCCCACAAAGATTGCCAACAGAGACTTATCCCATCATTCTCCCCCTAAGTCTTATGCGTCGTCTTATGGGAAAGTTGAACCATCCTAGTCCTAGAGCAGAGCTCAAGGAACTTGATCCTCCCAAGGGGCTTGGTGAGCAGGTCCGCAAGCTGGTCCTTGGTGTTGATGTAGCTCGCTTTGATGCTCCCTTCCTCCAAACAGCCTCGGATGAAGTGGTACCTCACCCCGATGTGCTTACTGCGTTCATGGAAAATGGGGTTCTTTGCCAGGGCCAGAGCGGACTTGCTGTCCACCCTGAGCTCCACCACTCTAGTGTCTCTGCCGAGGAGATCACCAAGCAGTCGAGCGAGCCAGAACGCCTGAGTTGAAGCAGTGGAGGCCGCTATGTACTCGGCCTCACAGCTGGATAGGGCCACCACCTGGCCGCTTGACCGATCGCCCGCCTAACGAGGCACTTGCCGAGGAAGAAGAGGATCCCGCTTCGTGCTCTTCTTTGGTGTCGATGTCGCCGGCGTGGTCATTGTCATTTGTGCAAGACGAAGTGTGCCGCCCTGGGGCACCTAGGGTAGTAGAGGCCGTGGTCGAGAGTCCCCCGCAACGTAGCGGATGCTCCTCTTCTGACTTCTTTGGTGCTCGC